TAGGATGCTGTTAGTTTTTAGTTCATTTTCTTAGTCAAATGTTCATTAACCTAGCGTTAGGCTCTGGAAAGTCAGAGATTGCAGTCTGCCCTTGGGGGACAAAAAAAGGGAAAGAAAAATCCAACTATTGATTAATGGGCATAAAACAAATTGCCCTGGTTATTTTTTTTTCTACCTTTTACTGAAGGTTTTACATGCTACATGAGAGACGTATTTTACCAAGGATGTAATTCAGCTGGATGGAAATAGTATCTGTAGTACAAAGGAAAGGGACCGATAAGCCCTAGAGAGTACATTTTGTAGACTGATTTGAGGAAGGTATTTGCACTGGAATAGGCACAGGGTTTTCTGATGGAAACACCCATGTTCCCAATCTCAGAACCCACTGAACCAGACTGACCCCCCCCCCCCATCTCCCAGAGGCTGTAGCACACTGTGGTGTGTTTCAGGCATGAACTTGCTTTGCTGAATGACTTTTTTTAAGCTCTGCGAAAGATGAAGGGTGCTCCATAAATGATTATTTTACTTACATGCATTTATAAACAAAAATAATTAAGAAATATGGATACAGTAGTAAGCTTATTTAATGGGTCCTCATTTGCTCCTGCTGTGTTGCCATTGCAGGAGCATTTGTATTTGTATTTGTTTGTACTGTGCTAAAACGCGACATAAGACCGTGGGAACATGTGGAGTGACTCAGGCTGGAGATCCATCTGGTCAAATACCATCCTGCCTCCACCAGGAATTGTCTGAAGATACCTATAGAAGCTTCAGGGGGAAAAATCAATAGACCAACTACACTGCAAGTCTTTGTGTTAGCAACCATCCCTTTAAAATAGCGTGAATTCAGTGGTAGCTTGGGTGGCCGAGGTTCAGCCCTTACGCGAGGGTCTTTTTCAGTGATGTAGACGTGTTCAAGAACAGCTCTGCAGCGAATGGAGCTGCTCTGTGCTTCCACAAGAAACACCTCTGCTTGTGCTGCCTTTCATTTTTGTTTCACACACATGGCATTGTAGAGAGTGTCAAGGGGAATCTTTGTTGTGCCTGATGTTATTATATGGATGTAACACCACATTTTTCTCAGCAAGCTCGCCTCATGGTTTAGCTGAGGATTTTACCAGTTACCTCTTAATCCAAAGACTAACAAACACGCTTGATGCTATTCCCATTTTCCAACAATTGAATGCTGTTACTTCTGTACCTCATTTGTACTGGTCAAAAGAGCCTGCAAGATCACCCATGTAAAATTTACTTTACTGGATGGCTGACAAGTTAACTCGCTCCTTAACTATCGCATGTGTCATTTTTTCTTATAGCTGTGGTGGTTCTGGCCTTTGTAATTTGCTGGTTGCCTTTCCACATTGGCAGGATCATATTTGTAAACACCCGGGACACCAGGATGATGCTGTTCTCCCAGTACTTTAACGTATTCGCTCTACAGCTTTTCTACCTGAGCGCATCCATCAACCCCATCCTCTACAATCTCATCTCCAAGAAGTATAGGGCAGCAGCCTGCAAGCTGCTCCTGCCACACCGAGCTGCAGGAAGGGCTTTCGCGGCGACGAAAAGCGCTGGTGGCTGCACGGAGACCAGCGCTAGCACAAGGCACGGGTACGCCACCAGCTTCTGAGACCACAGCCCATGCTTTTTCCAGCCTTTTCACAGGAGAGTCGCAAACGGACAGGCAGTTGTCAGCGTGTGTGGGATTTTGGAACTGTTCCTATTTTTAAGTACTTGTATTTCTGTTAACAGAGCAAGCAGGGACTGTGAAGTAGTGAGAATGATGTGCAACTCGTGAAAGTGACCTCAACAGGAAAAGCTGAAGTAAATTACCAGTAAAAACATGGTTTGAATTTATTACATGTTGTTCATTGGATATGTGTTCTTTGCCATTTCTAGTATTTTCTAAAATTTGTAACAGCAAGAGCCGCAAAGGAGGAGGGAGCTTGAGGTAGCAGCTCTGCTTGGCTGCAATAGCGGGTGAAACTCCCAGACAGCCTTTGCCATTTTAAAATGGTTTTCTTACAAATGAGATTTTTACAGAACAGTCTTGCAAGGAGATGGGCACAAAAGAAATCGCCCACCACCCTGAACACCCTCAGAAGAAGGGAGCATATATTTTTAATACGTGGTCTTGTAATCATGAACAGGAGTTTCCTGGACAGTTTCACTGACTCTGCCCTTGGGAAATTATCTCCTCTGGCCTTAACCCTTTTGGTCTGACCCGTGCGATCATTATCATTAATAGTATCTTGATTAACAATATTGACAGTGGGATTGAGTGCGCCTTCAGCAAGTTCACTGATGACACCAAGCTGGGTGGTGAGGTTCATGTGCCAGAGGGAAGGGATGCCATCCAGAGGGACCTGGGCAGGCTGGAGAAGTGGGCCCAGGTGAACCTCATGAGGTTCAACAAGGCCAAGTGCAGGGTCCTGCACCTCGGTAGGAGCAATCCTCATTACCGATACAGGCTAGGAGATGATGTGCTGGAAAGCAGCCCTGAGGAAAAGGACTTGGGGGTACTGGTGTATGAAAAACTGGACATGAGCCACCAATGTGCATCTGCAGCCCAGGAGGCCAACCGCATCCTGGGCTGCATCACAAGAAGCATGGCCGGCAGATCGAGGGAGGTGATTCTGCCCCTCTGCTCTGGTGAGACCTCACCTGGAGGACTGTGCCCATCTCTGGAACCCTCAGTACAAGAAGGACATGAGGCTGTTGGAGCAGGTCCAGAGGAGGGCCACAAAAATGATTCGAGGGCTGGAGCACCTCTCCTATGAGGGTAGGCTGAGGGAGCTGGGGTTGTTTAGCATGGAGAAGAGAAGGCTCCGGGAGGACTTTATAGCGACCTTCCAATACCTGAAAGTTGCCTATAAGAAAGCTGGGGAAGAGCTGTTCACTAGGGCATGTAGCAATAGGACAAAGGGTAATGGATTTAAACTAGAAAAGGGTAGATTTAGGTTGGATATTAGGAAAAAGTTTTTCAACATGAGGGTGGTAGATCACTGGAACAGGTTGCCCAGAGAGGTGGTGGAGGCCCCAACCCTGGAGATATTCAAGGTCAGGCTTGATGGGGCTCTGAGCAACCTGATCTGGTAACATTGTCCCTGCCCACTGCAGAGAGGTTGGACTGGATGAGCTTTAAAGGTCCCTTCCAACCCAACACATTCTATGATTCTGTGATCAAATTAGGTCTCTTATGTATATACTAGCAACCAATCCCCTGCATCTGTAGGAGTTTAGATACTACTCGTCACTTTCTTGTGGTAGACCCGCAGTGTTTGGTTAAGGTTAGCAGAATATCTCCACTGCATCACTGTTATGTACTGCATGTGCAAATAATACCACCAAGTGAACCCATGTTGCCACAAACAAGACCCATCACCGACCTTGCTGGACTGCGCCCAGGACTTATCACCATGTAACACTGCATTGCACAAAAGCCAACTTGCTAACTTTGCTACAAAGCTTTTAAATACAAACTAGAACTCTACCTTTTAGGAAGGAGGTTTGTTGTGAGGAAGAGCTAGGAGTTGCACTACTGGTTTCTCAGGAGGGTCATCACACCTGTGTGTATTTCCTGTTACCTTCCGGGCTACGATGATGCAAATCTGGACCAGAATCAATGAAGTGGGACTGTGCTTACAGGAGCATCACGAGCGGTTTGTCCACGCTTGCTTGGGGCCGTTAACCTTTGTTCATTAACACATCTGTGGTTCCAAAAAGTAACAGTGGTGTTTGCTGCATACTGGAGTTTACTGCCATGGTATTTGCTGCCATGCCAAGGCAGAATTCAACATCCAGCTCAGAGATCTCAAGACGGCTGAGTTGAACCTGAGCCTTCTCTGGATTTTAAAAAATACGACCAGTTCTCCATTTAACAACGCATAGTTCTGAGTCACTGAATTAAAAAAAATCTAAAGACAGAAAAAAACCCAAACCCCTAGCTCACTGCACACACATTAAGCTTTCTTTTTCTGTCAGCTTCATACTGGGGAGTGCAGTTGTCTGCAGGGCTTGGATTGGATTGCTTTTGCTGGGGAGCAGCAAATTAAAATGTTGTATTATAATAAAGAACAGCTGGTGTTTTGTGCTTGTTTGGACAAGTTATCTTTAACAGTAATCTTTGTAAATGTATGTAGACTGAGGTGGGGAAGGGGGGGAAGCTTTGTCTATTTATATGTGGCCATGGAGCCTCTTCTTAGGAAGACTTTAAACCAAGTTTGAAAGGGATCTGAAACTGTTCATTCTTAAACATGTGACCAGGTTTTTCTGAACGGAACAGAAAGTCCTCCCATGGACCATGGCCTAAAGCAACAGCTCAGCCCTGGTGGCAGGGTGGTGTGGTGGGATGCTCACCAGGTCCCATGGACTTCAGTTCGGCAGGGTCAGCCTCTCACACTTACTTGGGGACTTGGCAGTACTCACTGACCGCCTGCCCCACGCGTGCAAAGCTGCCAGGCACCCACCACTGACTGCCAAACATCACAATAACAAAAAAAACCACAAACCCACAGAAACAGAGCTGGTAGCTCAAGGCAGGTTAGGAGAAGACACCCAGAACATCCCTGGAAACCCTTTTCTAGTAGAGTGGCTCCACCTGTGACATCCTACTAGTGTGATGAAGAGACACGATGCTTGTGCAAGCTTTGCAGCCTAAACAGTTGTGACAGAGAACACAGAGCAATGGTCTCTGATGAGCAGATCACCAGTACGAGATCTGCTTGTGGCTGCTTGCGTGTCCAGCCACCCACAGGCCCGCTCTGAGGGATGCTGTGACTGCTTAATAAACTCCTTGGTACCTGCTTTTAAGTCAGAGGTTTGTCACATCTGTGAGGCTGTCCCCTTAAGCAGGCATAAACAAAGCTGCTGAGGTTATTGGGAAAACACATCTGCATATTCTGTTAATGAGCAATGCTGGGACAGGCGCCAGAGAACCACTTCCTGACACCCTTCCCATTTTCTATCTGATTTCCATATTCAATAAACAGCTGTACGTGGTGTACATAACTCCACAATAAATTTGAGGTATGATACTGCCTGGTGCTAACATAACTTCATTTGCATTTGCAGCATGGTAACACGGTGCCACCATTGCACTTAACGTGACTCTGAATTAAATATGTATCAGACTGAATTAGACAATAGAAATTCTAAGCATAGAATTTCTATTCTAAAATAAACATGGAAAACTAGTTGTTTCTTACTGTAGGAACCAGTATTTCTCTCCTCTGGATAATCAGATAGCCTGATCTGCATGTGTTGATGCTCAAAAGGGAATAAAAGCATCTTTCCCTCCTAGCAAGTTGATGCTTCAAGGTTTATTGCTTATTTCCCTCTCGGCAAAACACATACAGAGGTTCAATGTACTCGGTTTTAACTAGAACTTTTTTCTGGATTGGAAACAAATGGTTCTTCTGGTCCTTGTGGAGCATCCGCCTTTGGTTTTTTACCAATTGTTTTACAATTTACAAAGAATTTTACAGTGCTTTATTACAAAAAGACAAACAAACCCTCTTTTCCTTTCCCCTGTCTCTTCAGAAGTTGTGTGAAGCAAGCAAACACGATTTCTTCCAAGGGCATCTCCTGCAAGGAATTGAAACCTTTAAACATCAGTTTCCAAATGCCACCATTCCAAAAAGTAATTGCCAGGATCTCTGTGGGATCCTTCAGGCAAAGAGCACAATGCTGCGATGAGTCTGGAGCAGCAGCAAAGACTCACTCAGGGATGTGCAGAGCATCCCTGGGGCATCCCATGGGCCAGTCCTTCCTCCCTTGTCACTGTCTGGGGGATTTTGGCATCAAGGCAGGGCGAGGGGACAGTCACCTCCTTCCCCAGCCTCCGTGTGTCACCTGCATTCTCAAGTTTGGTCTGTAAATAAGTCTTTTGCTGTCTGCTTTTCTCTTTAATGCATCAATTTGAATAATTTAAATAAAAAAAGACAACTAGCCAGAGGAGCACCAGGTAAGCACCACCACTGGTTTATACAGAGGTTTGGCTGCCCACAGCAATTGACCTTTTAGTGAACAAAGACCCCAAGTTCAAAGCTGCTTTTTTACTTGCTGAAATGACACTGTCTCTGAAGGCACTGTGCAGCTGGCCTGGCAAAACAGACAGGTGCTGGGACACATGTCTTCTCCCTGCAGCCATCCCCTTAAAATCCCATGTGGTGCCGTGCTGCGTCGCTCCCACAGTAAACACAAAGCCTAGGGCCATCCCTGCAATGCAAACAAAGATTATACAAAGTAAGCAGAGAAAGAGCCAGGTGTGAAATGATGCAGATGCAACCAAAACTGCTCTGAATTCACTAAACCCACTGAACATCGCCCTGGCCTTGGATCAGTCGAGCCTGATGGGAACAAGCCACAGCATCTCTGGGGCACCACCTCCAATTTGATTTAGGAACAGGCTTAGCTTCACCAAAATAAGCCACTTTTATGTTAAAATTAATATCCAGAGGTATATTTCCACTGCTTTAGGGAACTATTCACAAACTGGTTTACTGTTACTGCATGCTCCTGGGCACCTGTGATGCTACTTTGGTGGAGGTTTCCTGGAGCTCAGAAGAAAACGGGGGAAAAAACACTGCAGCTAGGGGTAAAGTTTGCATTTGAGGAGCTGAAGGGGCA